GAGGAAAGGCCGAGTGGCCCCGGAGACATTGCTTTGACGGGCAGGGCAATGAGGGGCGGGCTCCAGTAGCTGATGACAGACATCAGGGGCACTGCCTGCGTGACACCTCAGTCCAAGGTGGGGCCCCTTGGCCTGCCACTGACAAAGGGTCTCATGGGTGCATTGGGGTCAGACCCAGACTTGGGATTTAGACCCAAACCTGTAGCCTGAGGCTCCTTCCAGAATGTGGTGTGGCTTGGTCACTCTGTGGGCCCCTTTCTCCCAAGGAGTAAAGACCAGGGACTTGGGGAAGGAAAGAGGCCGCCCTGGGCCTGGACTACCCCATGCCATCAGCACAGGCAGGACCAGCTGTGGCGGCAATGGCTGACCCCAGCCCGGCCAGGCTCTGCCTCTCACTGCGGCCAGCCCGAAACCCGGGCCCAGCTGCCAGTGTCCAGGAGCATCCCCCACCACCCCAAATGGAGGCACCTCCTTCCCAGGCCCCTCCCAGGGAGGCCCTCAAGCCCCAGGCTGGGCTTCTGGAGGGGGAGGGGGCAGAGGAGAGGGTGGTGGCATTAGTGGTGGGGGTGGGGGTGGCAGCAGTCAGGGTAGAGAGGAACTGGCGGCACTGGTGGCCCTCATTCACACCACACAGCTGCTGTGCCTGGCGCTAGGTTCCTGCTGAATCATCAGAATCCATGAGGTAGATGTTATCCTCGTCCTGAGAAAAGACAGAGGTGAGGTGACAGGGCCAGGGTCGCACAGCCAGGACCTGAACCAGAATCCACTAATCGCCGGATAGCACCCTCCCCGGGGTGGGTAAAGGGTCAGGCGGTCCAGGCATCCGGCCCCTAGGGATGGGCGCCCGGCCACACTGGCCACAGGGGACTGATCAGGCCGGTTCTGCTGCAATGGAAAGAATGCGCGTTTGGGAGTCTCGGGAAAGATAAGGTTCCCCACGGAGGGGCGACTCCCCACAGCCTTTCTCCGGCAGAGCAGACGCAGAGCACAGATTACAGCCTCTGAACTGGAGCTTTAAACCGCACCCGCGAGGAAAAGCATTACAAGCCAGAGAAGCAGGGGGGACAGCTTGGTCCGAGGCTCAAAATAAGAGGACACGTCCACAGCTGGGGGAGGGGTGTAGGGAGGTCAAAGGTGAACCGGATGCGCTCCAGGCTGGGACAGGCAGTCAGGCAGCCTGGGGCTGACAAAGCCAAAGCCAGTCAGCTTTCCATGGGGCCTGCGGGGTGGGGCGGGGCGGGGCGGGCGGGAGCCTGTGCAGGTCTGGAAGTGGCTCTGGCTCCAGCACCTCTGCCTGCGGGGATGGTGCTGTTGGGAGGCGACCATGGGGTCCTGAGCCACCTCAATCCCCAGGTGCTGAGATGCCAGCACTTCCGGGAGTATGAGGGCCCCTACCCCACTGTCCAGGGGGCCCCCTCAGAGACAAGAGGCCTGGCCTGGTGGGAGAAACAGCAGGTGGCAGTGTCCTGTGACACCAGTCCTCTCTGCTGATGATTTGGGAAGCTTCAAGCTTGATGATGTCGTCCACCAACAAAACAGAGAACAGAGGCCAGGGCTACGCTGAGCACGGGGTGGGAGGGTGGGCGGCAGCATGTAGCCAGTGCGCAATAAACATCACTGCTGTGACTAAGGAGGGAACAGGGGTGTGTGCCACCCAGCCCAGGGGCGCCGTGTCACGGGAAGGCACGAAGTCCTGCACTGCACCGTGGAGGGGCTGGAAGGCAGCGCATGGCTGTGACCCACAGGGCCAGCACCCCCATGGCGGAGTGGCGGCCAAGGGGTCCCGGGTTCTTTTAGGGGTGACGAAAATGTGCTGGAACTAATGGTGATGGTCACAGAACTCCGAATACACGGAACACCCGAGCTGTACCCTCGCAGCGGTTCTCAACCTTCCTAATGCCACGGCCCTCTAATACGGTTCCCCATGTTGTGGTGGCCCCCAACCATAAAGTTATTTTTGTTGCTACTTCATGACTGTAATTTTGCTACTGTTACGAATCGTAATGTAAATATCTGATGTGCTATATGTGTTTTCCGATGGTCGCGACCCACAGGTTGAGAACCGCTGCAGGGTGACTTTTATCATAAAAAATGAACAAGTCTAATCCCTCGCCCACTGCCAAGCCTACCCAAAGTCCCCTGGCTGTCCGGTTAGGGAGGAGAGGCAGAGCAGGGGAGCTGGGCCATGCTGCGCCTGGATCCCTGTGCCTCTGTCCCCGGCTTCCAGAAGCTGTCCCCTCTTTTTCCCCACACCCTCCAGGGAGGCACGGACTACTGAGAGCTCTTCAGGGGGGCACAGGGGCCTCCTTCCCTACTGAGGTCGCCGCTCAGGCCGGTGGTCCTCACCCTGCTCTCCAGACACTCAGAAAGCCAGCGGCAGCAGCTTACAACCTGACCTCTCTGGCCTGGGCTTCTCCGGCTGCGCCATGGACCAACTTGGGCTGCAGCCACTTCTGCAGATGGAGACGGCAAGGCCAGAGCAAGGGTGACTCAGCGAGAAAATGGGGCCGGGCATGGGGTATGACCCAGAGAAGGTACCATAGGGTCACTAAGTGTCTCATTTCTTTACATCAAGGCCCCGACTAGGGCTGACCAGGTGGAGGATTGCAAACTGAGCTCATTGCCATGGCTTCGAGCACTCCACTTTGCTCGTGGCCGCCACAGCCAGGTACGAGGTGACGAGGCCCAGGCACACACACATCAGAGCATCCTGGGGTCCACATACTGCTCCAAGGTCCACAGATGCCGAGCCCCACCCAGACTTCAGCTTTCTCAGCAGAACAAGGGGAACAGCATCAGGAAACCAGCGGCAGACACCACGCTGTGACGACGGTAAGAGCTCAGGCCAGCGTGGGTCACCTTCTACCGACACTTCCCAGGGCGTCACACAGAACACCCGGCTGTAGCCACAGAGCCTGACCCGCGTCAGCAGCACACTTTGTTCCCAGCCAACGAGGCCCAGCAGCCTCTGGCACACCGGCTGCCTCCTGGGCCGCCACTCACGCCAGACGCTGGGCCAGCCTAGGTCCTTGGCGAGGAGCCAAAGAGCCATTGAGGCAGCTCCTGCTCCCTGCCTACATGTGGGCCCGCATCTGCAGGCCTCTCCACCACCTGCCTTGGCAAGGAGGGGCGTGTGCCCTCTCGCTGCCACATCCTCTGCAGATGTGGGTGTCACTCTGGGACTCGAGCCCGGCGGGCCGGGAGTGGACACAGCTGCTTGCTGAAGCCCTGACACTCGGGGTGACTCAGCCCAGGGGACCAGCGTCCTCCCACACGCTGCTTGGAAAGCCACGCCAGCCGTTTCTTTGTCTTCTGGAATGCTCTTAGAGAAGACAGCCAAAGCAGGGAGCTGCTGGGCAAACTCTGACCCAGGGGCTTCTCACAGGCTCTGAAGAGACCCCGAGCCTCAATTCCAGGTATGTGCGCGGCTCCCCGGGCGCCCTGCAGCCTGCCCGGCTATCTGGTCTGGGGCCTCACTGGGTCCAGGCAGAGAGCTCAGCTCGCTGCCTCCTCTGGGCGCCTGCTCTTCAGCGGGCGGTGCACTGTGACCCCAGGCAGCCAGGCCTCTTGGCACTGACGCTGTCATGTCCTCAGAAGTGGCCATGGGGTCCCCGGGCCGGCGTGGAGGATGAGGAGGGGTGTGCATGCAGCGACGTGGATGGTCTGCTGGCAACTGCACTGCCCAAGTGGACGGAGCAGCCCTCAGCGAGTGGACGTGAAAGCAGGCCCCAGTGGTCCTCCCTCCTGGGCCAATGCCATCCTGTCCATCAATTCTAAGCTCATTCCCCCCACACATCCTCCTCCATCCCAAAACCAGGTAGTACAAGGGGCCTGGGAAGAGACGAGATCCCAGAACTGAAGAACCCCCAGCAAGCCCAGGTCAGGGCAAGTGTCTGTTCCACTGAGCTGAGGCCACAGAGCCCACAGGAACCGACACAGCTCCTTCCTGCACACGTGTTTCCTGGGCGCCCCCCAGGGCCCTGGAACCCAGATGCCAAGTCTTGGGCCTTTGGGGCGAGGCAGACGACAGGCAGAGGCACCCAGAGTACCCGACGACAGGCAGAGGCACCCAGAGTACCCACTTTCTCTGCCCCAGATGTGGGCCCCCGCCTCCTAGCGGTAAGTCCAGAGGGTGTCTAAGAGGCCTGCACCAGAGCCCGCATGGGTCCAGGTCTCCTGGCAGCTCGGTGAAAACCGCCCCTTCCCCCACTCGTCGAACCAGCTGCCCTTGCCCACAACTAACACAGGCCAGCAGGACGCTCATCCTGAGTGCCCGAAGCCAGAGGCACCGAGAGCCTCAGTGTTCAAACAAGAAGAGGGAAGCTCAGAGAGGGTCCACGTTTGCCAATGTCACGCAGCACGTCACTGCCCCCAAGACACCAGGAGCTAGGGCTCTGGACCGCTCGGGGACACCAACCCGTCCATGTCACCGAGCAACCCCTGCTTCAGTGAGGTGGGGATGCCCCAGAAACCCTGTTCCAGGATCTTTCAAGTTTCCAGAGCCTGTTCCCTGACACACTGGGGTGGGTATCAGAGCCTGGAGCCACATGGCTCTCTAGGGACAGGTGACCTGGGGAGTGGGCTCCCAGGGGCTCCGGGGAGGCGGGTCAGGGCTCAGCACTCCCGAGGCCACTCGGGGCTCCGGTGGCCCAGCAGGTCCACCTTCCTCAGCCGGGTGCACATCCCACCACCGACCCCCCCACGGTGGCTCCTGGACCCAAGAAAGGACAGAGGCAGGGCAGAGCGAAAGCAGAAGCCAAGCAGAGGTGCCCGTGGCTGGGTGGGCGCGCTGTCCGGGCAGGGGTCCGGGAGGGCCTGCAGCTCACGGTGCTGGTCCCACCAGACAGAACCAGCACAAGAAAACCAAGCGGGGACTGGAGCCCTGGCTCCTGCTGGTGGGCCCCGCTATGTCCCGGGCGCCCCAGGAGTGGAGTGGCCTGGCAGGAAGGCACGGGGGCTCCTCTCCCTCCCTCGGTCGTGGCCTGGCGTGCGCCTCTTACCTCTGGGCTCCTCTGCCTGTTTGGCGAGCTTGCGCAGCGCAGCGGCAAAGCTGGAAGACGGCGCGGCCTGGGCCGACAGCGCACTGCTGGTGGCGGGGCTGCCGCTGGGCACCAGGGCGCCATTGAGCGGCGAGGGGGTGAGGGGGTTGACGGTGGCGGTGGTCCTGGTCGTGGTGGAAAGCATTCCTAGTGAAGGGGACTTGGGCTCATGGCTCATGCCTGAAACAGGAAGAGAAGAACCAGAGGTCACCCAGAGAGCAGGAGGCCAGCACCAGAGCGGGGCCCGGGGCTCAGGGGTCTGGCCAGCAGGGGCATGCAGGGAGCAGGAGCAGCCTGGGTGGCCCCAGAGGATAGGCAGGCAGAGCAAACAGAGCCAGTGCTGCAGAGAGAATGGGCTGCGAGTCCAGCCAGTGGCCCCGAGGGCCCAGGGACACCCCCACCCGCCTGGATCCATAATGAAAGAACAAGGTATGCGCCCAGGACCCCAATGGCTCGACCTGCACCATCCTACAACCTTGCCAGGGCCACTGGGTAGGCCTGGGAGAATGCAACAGCCTCAGAAATCATCCCAGACCAGGCCTGGGGGAGGGAGACTGAGGCAAGGGGAAGGGCCAGCCCGACTAACAGTGATAATGAGGACAAGCAGGCCAGCAACTCACGGTTAACCTTTCTGACAGGCCTCTGGCACAACTGGTGAGGCCGGCACTGCTACTGTCCCCGTTTTAGAAAAATGGAAACAGAGGCTCAGACAGTGCAGACCCGGTATCTGACTGAGCATGGGGGCCCCATAGAGGCAGGCCCCCAAAAGACCAGTGCACCCACTTCCCCTGAACACACATCCCGGAGAGCAAGGCCATGCTGGTGCCCTCAGTCCTCTGCTGGGCAGGGAAAAATCTTGGGGGCGCGGGCCAGTGCACGGAGGTGGGAGGTGGCTGGAGGCCTTGTTTGTCGCCACCATGCCTGCCTGAGTCCCGAAGCCACCCAGGGATCCTGAATGGTCTCCAGCTGAGGAGGTGCCTCCGAGAACAGCCTGTGGAGGATGGGCCGTGTCAGCGGTGGAGGGAGAAGTGGGGGACAGAGCACAGTGAATAGGCCCCGCCGTTCTCCCTCACCGGGCGCAGACCCCGCCTGGAGAAGCTCAAGATTCAGAACTGCAGATCTAACCGTCATCGGCGGGGAAACCCCCTCCTCACAGGGGGCCAGGGCCAGGCCACACTGGCCAAGGAGCTGCCGCCCACCAGGGTGACCTCCGACGCCATGCGGGAGGACCTGGCCACCTAATCACAGGCCCGGCCTTTCCAGTCCCATTCAAGTGTCAGCGAGGAGGCGGAACCTCCCCCTGCCCCGCACGCCCCATCAATCAGGCCCAGCTCCGTCTTGGGCGGGAGAGGATGCCATAAATAAGTTCTCCGTGAACATTTCCTGCCTCTGGGGCCACCTGCCCAGGCCCAGTCCCTGCTCCCTCGCTGCGGTGCAATTCCAGGGCGTAAATCGAGGCCGCGCCTCGGAGCTGGCAGGGGCAACAGGTCAGGCGCAGGAAGGAGCAAATTACCCTCCAACCCCCAGACAGAGCCTGGGAAGGCCGCGGGGTCGTCTAGGGAGGGGGTTCTTGGCATCATGGGCGTGGGGGTGGGGCAAGCTCAACCACAGAAATCCAAGAACACAACAGGGCAGGAGCATGGGAGCAGGCCCCCCCGCCCCAGGCTGTGATCCCCCGACCCAGAGCCCACCTCACCTCTGCAGGGTTCTGTGTCAAGTCTAAACAGGTCTGACTGGAACCTGCTTCCATGCCCCCACCCCCAATGCGGCCAGCTGAGCACAGGGGTCCCCCACAGGGGCAGGCCCCCAAGACCAGCCCACCCACTTCCCCTGAACCCACGCCCTAACCCTGAGCCCCAGAGAGCCAGGCCATGCTGGTGCCATCAGTCCCCGCTGGGCAGGAAAAATGTCTTGGCGAGGGCCGGGTGCATGGCGGTGGCAGTGGGGCGGGGGAAGCAGCTGACGCATAAAAGACAATATTGAGGCAGGCGCAAGCTCGAGGGAACACCATTCTTTCGGGTGAGGGCTTGTACTTCGGGAACAAAGGACCCCCTCAAGAGCCCCTGTGCCCACAGCCAGCAGGCTGGCTTCCCAGCTGCCGGCGGGTCACGTGGGCAGCAGTGCCCACGGCACCGACCCGCGGCTGACCCCTGGTGTCCTCCTCTTTCTGGAAGGGCGGGGGAGGGGTGGGGAGAGGGAGCCACATGTCCAGTCACCTAGAACTCAGCAGAGAAACCCAAGAACCGGGGTCCTTGCCCCTAGCAGTCTGATGGCCAGAAAGCACAGGTTCTGACAAGAGTTCTTTCTCAGCCAACCTGGCGCCCAGCCAGCCACTCAAGGACCAGTGAGCACATGGACAACGTGCTCCGGAAGCTTGGCCTCAGGCTGCCTTTAGTGTCCTTTCCCCCCTCCCATGGCCAGCAGGGACAGAGGATGGGAGGTGCGGCCAAGGCCACGAGTCAGCAGAAAGCAGGGGCCTGGAGGTAAGGGCTCAGCACTGACTCAGCGGCCAGGCGCCTGGGGTTTTAACCTGGCCCTGCAGCCCTTAGGCAAGTCACTCCACCTCTCTGAGCCTCAATCCCCTGGTCTGCAGAATGGAGATAAGGAGAAAGTCCACCTCATTGAGGTTAGTCCCGGAGGGACTCAAGGAGCTAATTTATGTGCTGGGCAGGCACATACCAAGGATCGCTTGTTATTATACAGCCCATCAGCCGACTGGGGCAAAAACCCTGCTCCTAGGTCTCGACGGGTCTGGGGTCTGGCCAAGGCCATGCAGGTCAGGCTCAGCAAACCAGGACAGAGACTGCCTACTGCCCCACCTGGGGCTTCGAGGGGCAGAGGTGAGGCGGTGTCAGAAGTCTGTGCACTGCTTAGGGTGGGGACCCCAATGCTACCCCTCCTCCTGCTGCTGCCTTCCCCAGGCCTTCGGGACAGCCAGGCCCAGCCTGGCATGCAGGCCTCGGGCAGAGGGCCAGTGCCATGACCCTGAGCGGGCAGCAGCGGCAGCTGAAGGCTGACACTCAGGACACCGGGGACCAGAGCTCTTGTCCTTCTGCCCACAGGGGACAAGAAGGATGTGTCCCCACACAAGCGCTGATGTGGGCAGTCCACAAGTCCTCAGGGTCCTGCTCAGCACCCACTCTCAATGCACCAACTGGGGGGGGGTGTCTCCAGATGCTAAGTGGCATAAGATGGAGGCCTGCCCGTCTGGGGCCCCAGGCAGGGCCTCCAGTTCACCAGGTCCTGACAAGGAGCTCAGAGGAAGGGCACTACTAGGGCCGCTTGGCAGGGAGGTGCGTGAGGAGGGACCCTAGGGCTCCCTCACCCAGGGGACATCTCAGCAACCTCAGAGGCCACACAGATCCTCGGGGCACCTCTCAGGAGAGCCCGGGAGAGGCCGCAGCCGCAGAGCCACCACTTACCATCCCTCCCTGTGCCCACTCCTCCCGGCCTCAGGCATCGCTCAGAAGCCAGCAGCGTGCAAGTGGGGAAAGTAAAGCCAGGAGCTGTTGGAACGCTGGTGAAGGCCGCACAGACGGCTCAAGGCCACGCCGTTAAGCGGCACATCTGGGACTTGAACCCTGTTTCTTGGGCTCAGACATAGCGTTCTAACCACTCATGACACCACCTGCCTAGTCTGAGACCTAACCGTGAGGTCTGACCGAAGGTGTAAACACGCACCCTGCGCTAAAGTACCTTTCACCACAGTAGCTCGCCTGATAGTTTCGCTCTCTGAGGTTTCGGTTCCCTCCGATCGCTTGAGCTGAGGGTGGTCAGCGGCCACGCTGTGAGGATGCTCAAGCAGCCTGCTGAGAAGCCGTGTTTCAGGGAGCCACGCCCTCCCGTCTACAGCTGTGTGAGGTGCCGTCCCGGCAGCTGCTCCTCCAGCCCCCATCAAGCCTCCGAAGACACAAAAGCCCAGGCAACAGCTCGATGACAGCCTCACTGCAGACTGAGCCAGAACTGCCAGCTGAGCTGCTCCCGGGTCCCTGGCTGTTTTTAAGTTTGGGATAGTTTGCTATGCAGCATCCGTTGAGTGTCACTGCCTACTTGTCTCATCAAGGCCCACCCTCTCAATCAATCTGTCCCTATCTCCCTTCTTTCTTGAACCCCAAGAAGTTCAACCATCTGATCGTCTAACCATTATGCTGTATATCTGAAGCTAAAATAATATTGAATATCAGCTGTAATGGAAAAAGAGGTCCAACCATCTGCAAAGAATTACTATGCGCCTTTATCCAGAGTCCTCTCTGATGCCATCAATTCCCCCCCCCCCCCCCCACTCTTTAGAGATGTGGCCACCTCTTTAAATCCCAAATACCCTAAGACAAAGGAGTCTTTGTGCCCATTCTACAGACGGGGAAGGGCAGGCTTGGATGGAAGGGCTAACATGATCAGCAGCAGACCAGTTACTCAATCACAGCACCTACATCCCACTTACAAGGTCAGGGCCCAGATCCAGACCCATTCTGGGGCTGAGAGAGGGGCCGGCTCTGCCCTGCCCGGGAGCCCACCTCGTATGTACACTGCCATGACAGACAGGGAGGAGGAGCTGGGAGGCGAGGACGGGCAGTGTAACTGTTGCACCTCCCAATGACCAGTCCCAGAGGCCGGGGAGCAGATGTGAGGTCACTGCCCAGTAGCCGTGTGACAGGCTGGCCAGCTGGCAACTCGGGTGAACATGCTGTGACTGCCAGCTGCCAGTGCTGGGCAGGATGGCACAGAGGTGCTGGATGGGCAGGTGGTGCCACAGGGCAAATCCCAGGCCAGACCCCAAAATGTCTCATGTCCCTGTGGCCAGTGGTGGGTATCTTCAGTTGGCAGCAAGAGGAGCAAATCTCTCTTTTTTATCCTTTTTAAACTCTCTCTGTTCTAGTATTTCTGCAGTGAACCAGGTTTTCAAAACACGGGGCCCTCAAAGAGATGGAGACCTGCCTGCATGAAGTTGGCACAGCCAACAGGAGCATGGGGGTGTCCCCGACTAGGGCCGCCAGCCAGGTGCAGAAGCCAAGGGAACTGGGGTGTCCCTGCTGGTACTGGAACCCAAACCCTCACCTACAGCCCCCCTCGCCAGCCAGGCCTGCCTCTCCTTCCTCGCCTGGGTCAGCCACCACCTGAATGTCATCATCAAGCTCCCGCTGGCATCCGGACAGTGACACCCCTCCTCCCCACACTGAACC